CTCTCTCCCCCCTCTCCCTTTCCCTCTCCCAATAACACAGAAATCAAACATCTCATGTTCTGCAGACACACCCCTTGTGCCCATGTTAACCTCTGTCTGTACATCAGGAAGGAGCTGTTTGTTTCTGTGCCTTTACAAGCTTTTTTCTCTCTCTCCAGGATCGTTATCCACTCACAGGAGAAAGAAAACTCCCGCCCTGATTACATTCCCATCAACAGCCGCTTTAAATGTGTGCAAGGTACCGACTCTGCTGGCCTAGGGCTCTCTTGGTGACAAGAACCTGCTGCTGTTTATTGGCAAAACCCAAATTTAGTGCCTTTTCTTGGAGTTTTAATCTGATTCCTACGTGTTTAGATGAGTTCTATCAAATCCAAACAGCCACCCATGGAGCCAAAGAGCTTTTAGACCTTGTCTTGGAAGAACTTGCGTAGCTTGTGTGTGTCCCCCAGGGGCAAATGCTTGTTCAGGAATTAAAAGCAGCTTTTCCTGGATTAGTTTCTACCCTCCTGTGTAATTCCCTGTGGTTTCTCCCCATTTTGGCTGCGTAGACAAGCTCTGAAGTTCATTGGCAGGTTGGTTTTTTCCCAAAGTAGCTACGCAGATGTGGAACAAACCACCCAGGTGTGTGAGAACTCTGAATGTGAGGAACCTCTCCTGTGACACTTGGAAATTACTGTCCACATAGGACCGTTCTTTCTGCCAGAGCCATTATTAATCAGTGTTAATTAAAGCTGTTTAGTCCTTTGTTAGGACTCTTTTGTGGCTAGTAGCAGGCAGCATTTCCTGCAGCATTCAATGTCAGCTCTCTTGATCCTGGTTTTTTCTGTTTTCCAGAGGCAGAAGAGACTCTGCTGATCGATATAGCTACAAACAGTAAGTTTCATAACCACAGTGGCACGGCTAAAGCTCCTTTCAGGCTGCCTCTTGGCACTGACACATCCTTATTTTACCTGCCACTTCATCATCTTCCACCATCCTTTGTGTTTCTCCTTTGAATCAAGCAGGGGTTGTGTTTCCTCTGATGTTGTCTGGCTGTTTTAGACATGATCTTAAATACTCAGACTGAAATATTGGCAGTTGGTCAAACTTTAACTTCTTAAATCTTCTGTCAAGGAGAAACAATTCTCATCTCCCTTCTTCTTTGACCTGGAGCCTAGGTTATTAGCTGCCTTTTTTTGTGTGTAGTCACCAATTCTGCTTTCCCTTTCCAGATTTTTTTTCTTATTACTTGTAGAGCTCTTCTCTGTGAGATCAGAGCAGAGAGAGAAATATTCCTAACACGAGGAAAACGTGACTGGTGATACCCCAAGCTCAGAGAAGCTCTCAGAAGCACAGGGAAACTAGCTTGGGTACAAGTTTCCTTTGGAAACAATAGCTGGAAGTTGGTTTTCATTGATAAATTTGAAGGATACCTAGAAAAGCCTGGTCACTCTGAGGGCATAATACCTGTGAGGCAGCTTTGACTGGCTCTGTGAGTCTGGTGTCTGTGTCTGAAGCAGGATGTAAAGTCCGGATACAAGGTGACGAGACAGCAGAGAGGCTCTTTGAAATCCCCGATGAGGACCGGTGCTTGGGGTTCCTTTCAGAGGTGCAGAGCATCCAGGAAGGTGAGCAGAGCTGGAGTTGTGTTTGTGAAATCCTCTTGACTGCTACCAGTTTCTAACAGGGATGATTAGAATAGATGATTTTAATTTTATTTTATTTTTCCTAGCTCACCTGAAAGCTTCACCTCCTGAACTTAAGGAGTCAACCAGCTGGCATCAAGTGGAGAAGAACCTCCCAGGTCTTTCACAAGCCTCTTTGGGTACTGAAATATCACCTTTGTGGGCTGTGGGAACTGTAGAGTGATGGGGCTCTCAGGAGATGTGTCAGACCCTGTGTCTGGCCTCTGCCCTGTTTCCTCACTTCCCATCACCCTGCACAAAATAAAACATCTCAGTCCTTAGATTCTGTTGCCTTGGACCATTCTTTCCTTCTTGGGTGCTGTCTTTGGGGGATTGGATTAGATGTTCTTTCAAGGTCCCTTCCAATCTCTAACATTGATTCTGTGATTCCGATTCTGTGATTCCAGTTAAGGCCAGGCTGGATGAGGCTTTGAGCAACCTGGTCTAGTGGAAGGTGTCCCTGCTGATGGCAGGGGGGTTGGGACTGGATGAGCTTTAAGGTCCCTTCCAACACAAACCATTCCATGATTCTGTGACTCTGCCCAGTGCTTTGGTTTGTGTATGTTAAGCTCCCTCCTGCCTCGACTCGTGGTCACTACCCCTTTCTCTCACTCCCTGAATCATCAAAGTCAATATATTCCTGTCATAATTTGCTTTTTCACTGTCTGTAGAGTCATTTTTTTTTTTTCCTTCTTGACTCTGAGCTGTTTTAAATTATTTTTCAGGGTATTTTGCTTGGTTTTGTTGGTTTTTTTTTCATTATAGGAGCTCTGGGGTTTGAAGATGACTTCAATGCTCTAAACCTAGAAGAGAAAAGAAACAAGCAAAACCACCAAGTGGCATCTCGCCGGGAACCCCCACCTCCTCCCCTGCCTCAAAATAGGCAGTAAGTAATGTGGTGAATCTCTTCCCTTTTCTTTCCCTTCTCTTCCTAGACAGCAAGAACCAGTTTTCATTCTGTTCTTGCTTCCTTCCTAGATTTCACAGAGAGAGAGAAGGGACATCAAGAGACCAACCAAAAGTAACCAACACGATGAGGAAAATGTTTTTGCCCAGCACCCAGTCGGGACAGAGAGAAGGGCTGATCAAACACGTCCTTGCCAAGAGAGAGAAGGCTTATGTCAACCTGCACAACTTCAGGTCAGAGCTGTCACTGGGGAACAGTGGTGCATAGAGAAATAAATTTCTCTGAACTCTAATCTAGCTCAGGTTTGAAATCTGACAAGTTCCTGATGCGTGGCCAGTTTGGGTGTCACAACAGGGATCAGCACAGACTGAAAGTCAATAAATTCCCGAGGTGCAGCTTCTCCTTTTGCACCTTTTCCCCTAAATGTGTCAAATCTCTCATCCCCCCAAGTAAAACTGAAGGAATTTGGGCAGAAAGAGGATAACTGCAGCCATCCCACCACGTTGTCTTAGTGTTGCCCCACGTTACGTGATATTCCAAGAGCCAGATGTTGGCTGATATATATATAAATAAATATAAATATATTTAGTTTTGTAGCAATTCTGCAAAAATCCCTGAGATTGGGTGTCACTGCAAATGAACCAAGCCTAGAAGAATTTTCAGTTACCCCATAGTTGGCATGGACAGCTCGCATGTTGTGTCTGCTCCCAGTCTGAATGCTGCTGTGCCTGTACTGGAGGGACTGGGCTGATGTGTTTTCTGGGCTGCTGCAGTGGTTATTGTGTTTTCTAACAGTTCAGCTGCTTTTGTGTTGTAGATTTTTTGTGGGAACGTGGAATGTGAACGGACAATCTCCAGACAGCAGCTTGGAACCCTGGTTGGTGTGTGACACAGAGCCTCCAGATTTCTATTGCATCGGGTGGGTAGCAGTGTATTTCCTCACACAGTGCTGGGTTTCTTGTTGCTTTTGCTTTGGATACTGGTATTTGTTTGAAGTTCTTGTCGTGTTCTCAGAGATTTCACGAAGCTGAAGAGCTATCTGAGGGGGGAAAAAGCCATTTGGGTGAGGCAGAGTTTCAGGTTCAACAAGGCTGGCGTGACATAACGAAAGAGATTTTCCTTGAGGCATCCACTGAGCTCTCTGGTTGTCCTCCACCTAAAAATAACACTGAGATGGTTGCTGGAGCCTGTTGCACTGAGTCTCAGAGGCATTGTGGTGAAATTCTGCTGCTTTATTTAGCAAGTGGGAATAAGGAGTTTCTCTTCCTAGAAGAGCTGTTGCTGGAGGTTTCACACTGGAGCTTCCTTGTAGAAAGAGGGTGATCTGTGGGAGATGAGGGATGTGCTAAGTGGACTCCGTGTTTCAGGTTCCAGGAGCTGGACCTCAGCACAGAGGCTTTCTTCTACTTTGATTCTGCAAAGGAGCAGGAATTGCTGGCTGCTGTTGAGAAATCACTGCACCCTCAGGCCAAGTATAAAAAAGTGAGTTCTGATCAGTGTTTTGGGGTCTTGTCATAGAGTTGGAAAGAAAAGAGAAGAGAAATGGGTTTCCCCTTTCCCCACCTGATCCAGCAACGGCTGGAGAAACCACAGATGTCTGCTTGGCATGTGCACGTGTCAGGTACACCAAATTAAATCTGCAGAGTCTATATTTCTGCCCCCACAGTTGTAGGGGGAGATTGTACTTTGAAGCAGAAATTTATAAAGGTGGGGATTAAAATAACTGTGTAAAACACGAGGTGGGTGTCAGGGAAGTAGTCAGCTCAATAGAATCGTAGCAGCACATTCAAATTCTTTATCTCTGTTACCCCTTCACCCTTGTAGTACAGAAGCAAGGTGTAAATTGAGTTGGTAAATTAAATGGTGGATTAAATTCCTTGAAGGAATGGGATAATTCATGAGATAAAATCATCCAGAGGCTGCTGCCTTGGGACAGAATCGCTTCAGTTGTGGCAGAAGGACTTTATTCTGGCTGCTTTAGAGCAACCTGTTGGGTTTTTAATCTCTGCTGTAGCAAACTTTTCTGCTGTAGATACCAGCCCTTAATATTTTAACTAGTTTTCCCTTCCTTCTTAGCCCACTGTGTTCACTGTCACACCTCTCTCCTGCTTGCTTTGAGTTGAGCTCAGTGACATGTGTTACAGGTAATCCCAGCAGGAAACCAGCACCTTGGTGAACTGAGACTCATCAAGAAGGAGCTGGGGGTCACAACCAGAACTGCACAGAGGCTCATGTCCCTGTCTCTTTTGCTTTACTTGAGTTTTAGGTGAATTTCTCCCAGGAAACACATGTCCAGGAGTCCAGGATGTGTCTGCAGGCACAGGGGGAAGCGACTGAAACTGTAGATAAAATTTGTGGTTGCGTGCAAATTCCACTCCTGCAGAGTGGACTGAGGACTCAGGTTCTTCCAGTTGAATTCTCTGGTTTTTGGCTGCTTCCCTCACTACACAGACTTAATCCCAACACATCTTAGTGTTTTTCTGCTTCTAAAAATGAGCGTGGAAACTGTGCTCAAGAAGATTAGGCTTTGCCATTGCCTTTCAAAGTTGTGACCCCACTGTTGTGAAGGTTCAGGGAGGTTATGGACTGGGAAGTGCATTGGTTTAGCACTTGTGGGTTGAGCTCTGCAGTAGAGGAGAACTTATTCGCTCCAAAAACAGACCTTTTCCGTTAGAGAACAAGTTTTTTTTCTGGAAAGCAAACAGTTTGTATAGCTTGGAGGCAGCTGCCTTTTGATACTCCATGTGTCAGGCACGTTTGCCTCAGGAAATAAGAACTTTTTCTTCCTCTAGCTTAGAGTAAAAGGCTTGAGACTTAACCAACTATGTGTTTATCAAGTTTCTGTTACCTCACAAGACACCCCTGTGCATAGGGAGGCTCCAGAGAGGGGAATGTAATGAGCTCAGCACAGCTGATGGCTATTGGGGGATGATAGATTGTCCTTCAGAACCTTCCTTTGGGACAGGAGGTCCTTTGGGTGCTGTTGCAAGCAAGGATTTGAGTACAAAACACAAACAAGGGAGAGCTAGAGAAGCAGAACATGGGGTGGAGCAGGCAGATCAGAACTGTATTTCTGGGAACTCAGGATCCTTTCTCTTTTTCCAGGTGCAAATGGTCCGTCTGGTTGGGATGATGTTGCTCATATTTGCTAGGAAGGATCATCTGAGCAATATCAGAGAGATCATGACGGAGTCTGTGGGCACAGGAATCATGGGAAAGATGGTGAGTCACCGAGGCCAGTTTGTTGTCTCTGTGTGTCCCCACGAGAAACAGCCCAGGATGGTTCTGTTCACCTTGTCTGTGTCTCACCTGCCACCTTCTTTACCTGACCACTGATACCTGCTCTCCCAGGGCAACAAGGGCGGCGTGGCAGTGAGGTTTGTGTTCCACAACACCACCTTCTGCGTTGTCAATTCCCACCTGGCTGCTCACGTGGAGGATTTTGAGCGAAGGAATCAGGACTATAAGGATATCTGTGCTCGGATGAGTTTTGTAACCCCTGATGACAGCCTACCTCAGCTCAACATCATGAAACACGAGTGAGTTTTATTTTTGCTGGTTTCTTTTTGGTGTCAAATAATCCTAATCAAGTCAGAATCACAACCACAGGAGATTTCCTGTTGCAGGTAAGTTTTCTGGCTTAATAATAGAACTGGAAATGCCAAAGCTGGAACTTTGAGTGCTGGAACTCCTGCAGTCAAACTACACGGTCACCTTTAAACTGCTGAGGGTTTTTTTTTGTGATGGGGAAAGGGAGTATGAGTAGGGGAAGAAAAGGGATAGCAGGATGGGAAGAGGCTGTGCTGATTAGGCTTTTTGGAGTTAACAAGTTTCTTTTTAAAGGAATTGAATGATATGCAGACATTACTTGATTAATTTTTAAAATATTATTATTATTATTATTATTGTTATTATTATTTTTAATGAGGTGGCAGTGAATAATCCAAATCCAACTCAAACATCTACAACAAAGCATATAAATTAAGTTCTCTTAAACCTGATACAAATGATTAATACTTCCGTAGTTAATACTGAAACCATTTAAAAACTGAAAATAAAGCATATAAATTAAGTTCTCTTAAACCTGATACAAATGATTAATACTTCTGTAGTTAATATTTAAACCATTTAAAAACTGAAAATAAAATGTAGAGTGGATTAGTACAGAAAAAAAAAACCCAACCAACTTCAAATATTAGATTATCCATGATAATCCACTAATGGAAGTTTTGAGGTCTGACTCTAAACAGGAAGAGCTTTGATATTAGAGAGGGGTTTAGATTTTAATCTTTAAATTAAACCTTGAGGGAGTGAAGAGTGAATAGCACAAGTGTTTCTTTAGCTGCTGGTAATGAGAAGGCTGTAGGTCTTTCTGAGAGGAGCAGAGTAAGTGCAGGTGCTGATGAGGTTCTGGCTGATGGGTGAGACAGGACTCCAGTATCTCCCATTAAAATGAGTTTTCAATCCCATTTGGGATTCCAAAGGAGATGGACTTAGCTCTATCCCAGCAAAAAACAGGACAGTGTTGTAGTATCTACAAACCAAGTGCCTTCAGCCTCTCCTCACACCCTTCCCATCTAAACCCTTCCCCAATTTGGTGTCCCTCCTCTGGACACTCTCCAGCAACTTTAGATCCTTTTTATCCTGGACACAGGTGTCCCTCTTGGCTGCCAGGACACAGTGGTGGCTCATGTTCAACTTGCCCTCCCAAGGGGCAGAGGAGGGGCAGGCGCTGATCTCTTCTCTCTGGCCACCAACGAATGCCAGGAGCAGAGGGAATGGCAGGAAGATGTGGCAGGGGAGGGTGAGGTTGGCCATGAGGAAAAGGTTCTTGAGGCACCCAGAGGGTGGTGGAGCACTGGAACAGGCTCCCCAGGGAGGTGCTGATGGCACCAAGCCTGACAAGATTCCAGCAGCATTTGGCCAAGGCCCTCAGGGACATGGGCTGAATGTTGGGATTGTCCTGTGCAGGGACAGGAGATGGACTCCAGCATCCTGGTGGGTCCTTCCCACTCACAACACTTGATGGTTCTATGATGTCACTAGAAATTTCTGCTGTCTCATTTTGTCTTCTGTGTGTCTCAACCAGCAACCAACCATCTCTTCTGCTCCCCTTCTCCCCTGTGTGACCTGTGATACTAACTACTGCCTCTCTTTTTTTTTTTTCCCCATGTTTGTCTTTGTTTTCAGTGTTGTCATCTGGCTGGGAGACTTGAACTACAGGCTTTGTCTTCCTGATGCCAGTGAGGTGAAAAGTCTTATCAGTAAGAATGAGCTTCAGAAATTGCTGACATACGACCAGGTGAGTGAAATCCACTTTCCATTTGCTCCCTACCTGGGAGGTTGTCTTGGTTTAACAGTAAATTTAGTGATTCTCTTCTGCCCTGCTGTGGAGCTTCGTGCAGCAAACAACTCCAGCTCAGGTTTTTGTGGGGAAAACAACTGGGAAATTTTTCAGAAGAGTAAATGAGAAAAGGAAAATAGTGTCAGGTCATCAAACAAGCACAATCCCAGAGGCTTTTCCTAAAATGAAATGTTAATTATGGTGATGAAGTCTGAAAACTAATGAAGGCCTTTAGCACGAGTGGAGTTAATATTTCCCTTAGCTATTGTTTTATGGTGTCTGCATGGTCTGGTAGCAGCACTGTGCCAATTTGTATTCAGTCTGTTTAAAAACCATCCCACTGATGTGTTGAATTTTTACCTTTGTTAAAGGTATAAGGTCTGAGAGGCATTTTGAGGGATGTCTGGTGGATCCCATGGCCACAGGTTGCAATTACTCTGCCTGTAGGTCTCTCTGACACTCTGCTGTACGTGTGTGTGCCAGGTTGGGGTGTTTGGGATGGTTTGTTGGGTTTGTTTTTTTAAAAGACACCCTTTTTTCTGCTGTAGCTGAATATTCAGCGCACTCAGAAGAAAGCATTTGCAGATTTCATTGAGGGAGAGGTTAAATTCATCCCCACCTATAAATACGACTCGAAAACAGATCGCTGGGACTCCAGGTAAATCGGCTGTCGATGGACATATTTCCCTATGACATAAAAGAAGTTTTTTTTTCTCACAAAACTTGATTTCCTGCTTCCTTGAGCTGGAAATACAGTGTTATGGTTATGGCTGGAGTGCACAGACAAGTTTATACTCCTTTGTTTCTCCTGCTCTCTGAAAGAAGCAGACTCGTTTGCTTTGCCCAGGCACACGTTTAAACCTTGGTTGCTGCTGATTCCAACAGATGAAGGAGGGTAAAGCATGAACTCCCATGCACTGGAGGGGTTTTTTTTCCTGCTACCAGGGACAAATAAACAGTAATAAAAGGAATTGAAGAGATAAGGAAACACTCTGTCTGAGTCATCTTGTCCCCTGACTTGCACACTCGCAGGGGTGGTTCCTGCTTGGTGCTTCCCACAGACACTTGTGCATCTGCTTGCTTTAAATGGAGCAATTCCCAAGAAGGAGTTTCAAACCATAAAGCAATTGGATTTTTACTCTGCCTGGGTTTATGAATCAGCACAGTAGTTAATCTGGAGAAGGATAACAACCCAGGATTCAAACTTCATAACAGAATAGTAACAGCTGAGTAGACTTTTTGTAGTGGAAACAATAACCGACGGATTAAATTGTAGTGGGCAGAACGATCTGGCAGCAAAAGAAACTAGTGCAGCCTGGGTCACGGTACACATGGCTTCAGGCTGTGGAAAACAGTCTTGTTTGAGGTTATTTTGTTTCCTCATGCTTGGAAAGGACGGGAATTTTAGCTCCTGTCTAGGGAAAGGGGAAGTGAGCAGAAGAAATAACGTCGTATTCAAGTTAAGGGAAGTGTGACGGGAGCTGATCCCATCGCTGCTGACACGGCTGGGGTGGTGGGAGCTGCTGGGAGGAGGAACAGCTTGGGTGCTTTCTTAGGATTGTTGGATTTCCCTGGTAACCTGTTTTTGGTGGGGTTTTTTTTCTTTGTAGTGGAAAGTGTCGTGTGCCAGCGTGGTGTGATCGAATCCTTTGGAGAGGAGGGAACATAAATCAGCTCCGGTATTGCAGTCACATGGACTTGAAAACCAGTGACCACAAACCAGTCAGCGCCCTGTTCCGCATCGGGGTAACTTATTTTTTCTTCTTAAATATGTTAAGGTAGGATGACAACATTGTCACTCACACATTCCTTCAGGAGGTGGTTGTATAGTCAAGACACCTCTGCTCACGCTGTTGCAAGAAGACAGAGTAAATAAAAAAACAAGGTGTGGCGACTGTGTAGGTGTGTTGGTGTTTGGCAGCCACTGCTCAGCAAACACCTCAGCAGCTGTGTGGTCTTCACGTGCAGTGCAGCCACAGTGGGACAGTGTTCTGCCCCAGTAACACCAGTGATCACTGGAGTTTACCTGGTTGTGTAGTAAGTAGAAAGGGGTTCGCCACTGACTGCTGCTCAGCTTGTTGGGGTATAACCCATGGTATCTAGTGCTAGAATGGGTGAGCAACTGGTTTCTCTCCTCTGCAAGCAGGAAGTTGCTCCTGCTGTTGCAATGTTGCCTCTCTGATGAGTTAAGGGAGAGTGTCACTGGTTCACAGCTGAATTTCTTGGGTGGTGAGTGGCTGGCAGCAGATGAGGGTTTCGTAGCCTACTGAACAGAGACAATCCATGTCCATTTTCACTACCTCCTGCTCAGGTCTCCTTAAAGTAAAGCCTTTCTCCTCTTCCTCAGGAGTAGTGCTGTGGCATGCCAATGCTGTCCCACAGACATCACCCCCAGTAGTGTGATCAGTGGCCAGAAAGACCCTAATGACATCTGTAGGGGATAAAATGTGCCTGAAGTTGCATGTGCAGCTTGGCGGTGCACCCAGGCGTGCAAATTTCCTCTTATATATTAAATATTTCACTTCTGCACTTGATTTCATGATCAAAAGAGTTCCTGTGAAGCTGGTGAGAAGCTTTGCTGAGTGTTTTCTGATCTCCCCCAGGTAAAGGTGGTGGATGAGCAGAAGTATCGGAAGTTGTTTGAAGACATCGTTCGTATAATGGACAGAATGGAGAATGATTTTCTCCCTTCGCTGGAGCTGAGCAGGAGAGAAGTGAGGATGAAACCTGAATCACTTGTTCACTTCCCAAACACAACCTGAGAAGTGCTAGAACTACTTTTAAAGACTTTTCTTTAAAATTCAGTAAACTGGATTATAGGGAATTGAACTTTATCCATTATCTTATGGAATTGGATTAGAAGGGACATCTTGTCTTGGCTTCTTGGCAGGTCTTCTGTTAGGGATTCTGCATTGTGTGGGCACTTCTGAGTCACAGGATCCCAGAATTGCCTGGATTGGAAAAGACCTTTAAAGATCATGGAGTCCAACCATGAACCCAGCACTGACCAGTCCCCTATGACTAACCCATGTCCCTCAGCACTGTGTCTACACGACTCTTCAATCCCTCCAGGGATGGGGACTCCACCACTGCCCTGGGCAACCCCTTCCAATGTCTCAGAACCCTTTCAGCAAAGAAACTCAGCACACTTGTGCTCCAGACCCTTCCCCAGCTCCGTTCCCTTCTCTGGACACGCTCCAGCACCTCCATGTCCTTCTTGGACTCAGGGGCCCAACACTGAACCCAGCACTCGAGCTGCAGCCTCACCAGTGCCCAGTGCAGGGGGAAGTCATGGGTGGCCACTGCACTCTGGGTGCCTAGCTGTGTGTCCCATCATGGCCACTAACATGATTTGTGTTTTCTCTTTGCTCTGCAGTTTGAGTTTGAGAACGTGAAGTTCCGTCAGCTGCAGAAGCAGAAGTTCCAGATCACCAATAACGGGCAGGTCACTTGTCACTTCTCCTTCATCCCAAAGCTCAACGACAGCCACTACTGCAAGCCATGGCTTCGGGCCGAGCCTTGTGAAGGTTACTTGGAGCCTGGTGAGTTTTGCCACAGTTTCAACGGTGTGGACTGGTGAGAACTCCCACCCCATTGCCCTTCAGTCCTTCCCATCTTTCCTGTGTCTCATCTTTCTTGCCATCATCCTTGTCTGTCTTCTGTTTCATGGCCTTTGTCCCTGCTGCTGTGTGGTTGTCTTTGTCATCCCTTTTTGGAGAGTGTCTGTGTGTGTTCTTGAGAGTTCCTGTCTGTTGCAGATGAGAGCACAGACATCTCCCTGGATGTGTACGTCAGTAAGGACTCGGTAACCCTTCTGAATTCTGGGGAGGATAAAATTGAGGATATTCTTGTCCTTCATTTGGATCGAGGGAAGGATTATTTCCTTACCATCAGTGGAACCTACCTGCCCAGCTGCTTTGGCACTTCCCTGGAGGCCTTATGTCGAATGAGACGACCAATCCGAGAAGTTCCAGTCACCAAACTCATTGACCTGGTGAGTAGCAAGGTTCTGGAGCAGCTCTCTCAACAGGGAGAGAGAACATATTCCCTTCTATTTCCTCCTAAATCAGGAGTAAGACCTTCAGCACAAGACAGCTCTGCTGGCTTTGAGCTGATTTACTTTTTCCAGAGCTTGACATGATCTTTTCTCCACCACAACCATTGGCTTTTGACAGCCTGTGCTTTATCCCCTGTGTCTGAGTAGCTTCTAAATATCTAGTGGGGGCAAAAAAAAGTGATCCCAGCCCCTGGTGTTTGGTGCTACTGTAGTGTTGGTGCTGTCAGGCTCAGCTGGGTGGCACTGGTGTGTCAGAAGAGATTGAAGCTCTCTCCTCCAAGGTGCTTAAGCTGTTTCCTGCACTCAGGAGATCTCCAGAATCCTTTTCCTTCTGGATGCCTGTGACATTTACACTGCTCAAGGGAAGAAACAAGCGGAATTAGGAGGATGGAAGGAAAGGAGTTGGATGGTGTTAGGTGTACTGATGGGCACAGCTCAGCAAATAGCCAGTCTGGCAGCCTCTCTGGCCAGTTCCTCTCACACCAGCCGCAGTGAGGAAGCTCTTCCATAGTGCAGAGATAAGTGTTCCTCTCTCCCCAAGCTTCACCAGGCCCTTGGCATCAGCATTCATCCTTTGGGGGTCAGAGGGTGTGATTGTGCCTTCATAACCCTTTTATCTTTTGGATATCTCATGGCTGTTTCTGAGATTTAAGCCCTGCTTTGGGGATCTGAATTCTTTCAGCCTGTGTTCATTCCTCTCTTCTCTTGGCTTTTCCTGGCCTTGCTTCAGTGAGTTCCTGAGTTTTAGTCTTATTTACCTCTTCTTGTTTAGCCAGGAAAGCCATTTCTTTTTTATTCACCTGAAAGATCAGCCCAGTTCTTTTAATCTGCCTGACATGTGATACTTTCCTCTCTTCTCATATCTTAGTCTCATCTTTACATGCCTTTTTTTTTGTCCAGTGAGCTGCTGCTTTTTCACATCTGGAGATTTGACAGCTTCCACTCCCATCTGCTGACACTTCTTTCTCTTCCCTTTAGCAGTTACACCATGCCTCTTGCTGCCTCTTCTACTTTCCACTTGTTGTTGTAGGTGTCTACTTTCCTCACTGGCCCAACATACAGAAAAGCCATTTTTATGTCAGAATTTTGATTATTTTTTTTTTATAACCACAAGATCAGGTTAAGCAGAATCCAGGTGACAAGATAACAATGTTTGCCTCCTCAATTCGAGCAGCTAATCCAGGCCTTGGGCTCCTGCCCTCACAGACACAATTTTCTACGTGTACTTTGAGGCTTCTTCTGCTTCCTTTACCTATAAATTTCTTTTTGCTGTTATTTAGTGAAACATATAGAAGGACAGGAAGCAAAATAATGAGAGGAGAGCACCCTGTCCCAATATCTGGAACGAAGAAACAGTCTCTGGTGTCAGTGAGGTCAGCCTGACTGCAGGACTTCAATCAGAAGACGTTAATCAAGCTCGAGGAATACAACCTGTAATGGCCCAGAGCAAAATTTAGGCACTTTTAAGATTATAAAGCTCCTGTCATGTTAGAGCTATTTTAGGTCTCTTGGTTTTTGCTCCTACCTGTGAGTTGAGAAATTCTTGGAGCCAGGACAAGCCGAGCACTTTGTGGAGGGGAGAGCAGTGCAGGTGCTGACAGCTCTGCAGCCCCGAAGCAGTTTGGTGCAGTGAGGTGTGTTTAGCTGATGTGTGTGAGGAAAGCAGCGTGTTTGTGTATTAAAAACTGTTTTCCCTTCTGCACTCACCTAGTTTTAGGGCTTGTCATCAGTTATTTTTCTCAGCCTGGCTAGACTGTATCTGTTGTCTTCATAGAATCATAGACTGGTCTGGGTTGGAAGGGACCTTAAAGCTCACCAAGTCCCAACCCCCCTGCCAGCAGCAGGGACACCTTCCACTAGACCAGGTTGCTCAAAGCCTCATCCAACCTGGCCAAGAACACCACTTCCAGGGAGGGGGCAACACTTTCCAGATCTACCTCTCAGCAGAGAAAATGCAGGTCAGTGAAGGTCTGAGAGACAGTTTGATGCAGGATAGCAAAGTGTAGGTGGGAGTTTGTTTGGAAATAGCTCTCCTGGGAGAACTGATGCTTGAGCATCTCACCTCTGGGATTTCAGTATTAGTGTCAAATCCTGTTTTGTTTGGGTTTTTTTTTTTTTGGGGGGGGGGCTTTAAAAAAAATCTCTTGAAGAACCTTTGTCAGGAGCAGGTGAGTCTCGGGGAGCTAATGGTGTTGCTGAACACTACAGGCAGAGAGGTGAACAGCAGGGCAAGCAGGCAGGTAGGTGGCAGAGACTGTTGAGATGACTCACCCAGTTATGAAACCAGTCTCTCTCCCGTGCAGCGTAGCTATCTGCTATCCCAAACCTGTGACTATCATCCCTCCCCTCTGTGCCTTGGAAGAAGAACCTGTGCCAGCTCATGTTCAGAGCAACCTGTTCTCTGCAAGAAGCCGGTCTGTTGTGGCTGTGTTAAAGCTCAGCAAAGGAAACAGGCACTGCAAGGAGTCACAGAGGAGCCCGAGGTGCTGCTCCCTCCCAGCCATGCCCCGTGCCCTGGTGTCTGCAGCTCCATTTCCAGCTCAGCTCTTGAATTCATTTCAGTTGCTCCCACCCTGAAAAGGTTGATCTACCAAAACTCAGCTTGGACAACCTGCTTCTGTTTCCTCCTGTGGACTCTCCACTGAACAGGGTTTTACTCTGCCAGCCTGCACTGTGCTGGTGTAGGGGTGCTGTGTTTGGGGGGGGATTGGCCACACAGCCTGGAGGGGGGCTTTGGCACGCTCCTCCTCTCAGTGTGCTAATGCTATTAAGTTGAGAAAGACCAGCAGCCTGGGGTTTTGAACACAAACACTCATTTCCCTGACTATCCACAAAGCTGCTTAGGGGGCCTGTTAGCTCCACAGCTGCCACATGCTTAGAAAATACAGATTTAACCTAGTGAATGTTTTCTCTCTGGCCTGGTCATAAGAGAAGATGTCTGAAATAATAAAGGGATATTTTATTTCTGACTGGGAAGATTCAAGAAGGGGAATTTCTCCTGGTTGGACACCTCTCATCTGCCTGTGGCCTGGCTGTGAACAGTGCTGCTGTAAGGCCCCTTTGAGGAGTCTGTAGAAATCCTGACGAGGTTGTGCATCATGTGAGCAGGATTTTTTTTGCTAATTGGCAGGCAAATCTCTCTCGGAGCAGGTTTAACTTTGGCCCTGTCAGCAAAATGTGTGAAGGACCTGGCATTCAGTGGGTTCTTGTAATGCAAATTAAGGTTTCTGCTTAATCTGAGAGTATATTCTCTCTCTTAACCATACTTTTTCCTCTTCTCTCTTTCCCCACTGCTCTCAGGGAGAAGACAGCTTCTTAGAAAAGGTAACTCACAAGCAATTGCTGGGGAAATCTGCTTCTCAAGGACTTGTTTGTAAAAAAAACAGGAGTTTTCCCTTTGGTTTCTGCTGAAGAGGGAAAGGGAGGTGGGTGCAGAGGGGACTTGTTCCAGCAAAAGCCTCTTAGCACAGCGATGGGTTAGATGAGAACATGTAGGAGCACAAAGTCGCCCCCATAGCCAAGGTGGGACAACCCAGCTGAGCTGCTTGAAAGCTCCCCAAATTTACTTTGGGAAAATAAAAATGCTTTCCTGATTCCACCAGCGATGATAGATAATTTCCAGAAAAGATTGGCAACCTTTGACATATCTGAATTAGCTCTAACCGTGCCCATAAAGTGGGGTTCACCACAGCACCTTCTTCAGACATGTGGGGAGAAGGTTGAATTAGAAAAACTCAAGTCTTTTGCTCCTTCCATCCTGGAGGAAAAGCTCTCCCTTGTCCTTACAGAGGTGAGGGAAGGGTCTTGTGTAGGAGATGGATGTTTCTCTGCTTCCTCCAGCCACGGAGCATCGTAGCCACCCATGCCTGAGCAGGGTCACTGCTTTACTTTGCACTTGTGCTCTGTGCTGGAGGCCAAGTGACTCAAATCTGTCACTTGAAGAGCAAGTGGGAGATGCAGGGGACGTGTGTGGCAGAGCTGTTCCTGCTCAGATGTTTTGTAACTTGTTTGAGGGCAACTGGTCCTTCTCCAAGCTGTCACTGCAGTGCCAGGGTAAAAGCAGGAGGGGGAATGTTTGTCCCCTTCTCCAAGAGGGGATTGAACTCGGCTGTTGAGCTCACAGATTCCCTCCTAGCAACTGGGAAGGGAGGAGTTTGGTGCCTGCCTGCTGGGAACATCGTTTTTCAGAGCATCTTCTTTCCAGGACGTGGACCAGGACACCTTCCCTTCCTGGCACAGGGCAGGAGAGGGCGCTCGGTCCCTGGCCAAGGCACAAGGGAAACTCGAGGCCCCAGCACCGCCTCCTTCTCCTCCTCCTCTGCCCTGAGGAGCCCCGAGCCCTCTCCTTCCCTCTCCTTCCCTCTCCTTCCCTCTCCTTCCCTCTCCTTCCCTCTCCTTCCCTCTCCTTCCCTCTCCTTCCCTCTCCTTCCCTCTCCTTCCCTCTCCTTCCCTCTCCTTCCCTCTCCTTCCCTCTCCTTCCCTCTCCTTCCCTCTCCTTCCCTCTCCTTCCCTCTCCTTCCCTCTCCTTCCCTCTCCTTCCCTCTCCTTCCCTCTCCTTCCCTCTCCTTCCTGGCAGCACCGAGTGCTGCTCTGGCACTGTGCCCCGGCGCTGGGATGCCCTGGCATGGGGATTTTCTGTTGAAGAGCCCTCAGCTTTCAGAGAAGGTCCCCAGCTCTCACCTTTTCCCTCTCAGAGGAAACTTGTAATGTGTTTGCTTAACCTGCTGCTTCCAAACCTTCCCTGTGTGCTTGGGTGAGACCTGCAGCCGTGAGCCAGCGTCTCCTGGCTGGGTAAAATCTAGCGGTGCATGTGGAAAGTGTGGCTACTGCCGGGGCCAGCAGGGCTTGTGCCAACCTGAGGTGTCTGGAAGCCAACCCCAGCCCCAGGCTAATGATTGTGTGTGCTGCAGAGGGACAGTGGTGACAGTTGTCATGTAAGGTGACAGCTGAAATGAAAGCGCTTTGCGTTTGGCTGGTGGAGCTTCTCTCTGCTGATGTCCTTGGGGTTGTGTTCCTGCTTGTGCTGGTCTCTTCTGGGTGCTTCTGCTCGATGTGCTGCTCATGGCTTCTTCCTCAGGAGCCCACAGGAACATGAGTGATTGTAAAGTGAGAGTAAAATCAAGCAAAAAAAACATGGATCCTGTTAAAAATGGGTGTGATGGAGATTTCTGAGCAGTTGAGCTTTGCATGAGTAAGTGGGGAAAAGGTGACAGGGGAGTCTGTTCAGGAGACACCTCTCCTTAGGAAAATCAGGAGAGAAACTAGAAAATCAGACAGCTTTCGAGCCCAGAGGGCAGATGTGGTCAGAGCACACAGCAGTCAGGACAGGCACGTGCTTGAGAAGATCAGCTGGACAAGTGGGACACGGTGGCTGGGATGTGGGAGCTGGTTACGCTCCAGCCCTCCAGTGTGGGGTGCAGGTGGGAGCTGTGGTTTGGCCAGCAAGAGACCCATCCTGTGGGAGCTGGTGTGGCTGGGGGAGCTCCTCAGAGGTGTGCCTGAGACTCTTCACCAGGGCCCTTCCAGAGGGACTGAGGGTTTCCCTGAAACCTTGTGTGTTTTTAACCACCAGGAGAAATCCGTTCTGCAGATGGGCTGCCTGGACAGTGAGGACCCAAGTGAGATGCCACTGCAGGTGCCAAAGGAGATCTGGCTCTTGGTAGACCACTTGTTCAAGCATGCCTGTCACCAGGTGAGGGAGAGGGTCTCTGCCATGCCAGGAAGCTCTGGAGAGCTTGGTGACCTGATTGATCAGTAGCAGCTGGAGATCAACTCCAGTTTGGTATTTATAAGGGGAGGGCTTTTCCTCTCTGCTTGAGGCACTGGCTGGGGGTACCAACTTTCACCTGGTTGTCACCATGTGAGGAAGGTGACTTTGTCCATCCCTGTGCTGTTTTTGACAGGAGGACCTGTTCCAGTCTCCAGGCATGCAAGAAGAGTTGGAGCAGATCATTGACTGCCTGGACACCAGTATCCCTGAGACAATCCGTATCCTTGCTGTGCTTGATTTTCCCAGGAGCCTGCTGGATCTCAGCTCTGTGGGGAAAAGCTCCCTCAGGAGAGCTTGTCTGTGACCTTTAGGTGGCAGGGTCCTTCTTGGGGGGCTGCCTCCCCACTCTGCCCCCAGAGAGAACCTCTCTTGAAGCTGAACGTGTGCTGGCTAAAGCAGCTGCAGGGCCAAGGGGAAGAGCTGGTGAGGGTGGACACTGGGGAGCATGATCTGAAGAAGGGGCTAATGGAGCAGAGGACTTCTGTGGGGCTTGAGGGTGGGCAAGCACAGGGCAGGGTGGGTGGAACAGCATTTTCCATGGATGGGGGACAACAGAGGAAGAGGAGGAGGAGGAGGAGGAGGAGGGCTTTGGTGTCAGGGAGTGGTTAGGCAGTAAGAAAACTCACAAGACCTGAGGAAGCAGAGACTAAGCAAGTGGGAAGGAGAAGCAGGGAGGAGACTTGGGGAGGGAGGAGGTTCATCCACTCAGCGTGTCCCTTGATTCCCACCACTCCAGCTGGCAGCAACCACTCGGTGGCTGAAGCTCTCCTCATCTTCCTGGAGGCTCTGCCAGAGCCGGTGATCTGCTACGAGCTGTATCAGCGGTGCCTCGACTGGTCACACAGCAGCCGGCTGTGCCGACAGGTGAGGTGTTACCTGTGTCTGGGTCAGCTCAGTGTGGCCTCCAGGTCACCTCTCCCTGCTGCTGCCAGCTCTGCCCTGGTCCTGCAGCTTGCCAGGTCCTGCTCCCTTCCCTTGAGCTGGTGAGGAGCTTTGGGAGCAGGAGCTTGGAGGTTATTTGCCAAGTGGGCAGGATGACCTGGGTGCTCTGGCAGTGCTTTCCTGTCCCAAAGTTGGCATTTCAGTGTCTCTCCGTGATCCTGGTGGCTTCCAAAGAGACCCAAGTGTCACCCTGAGCACATGGGGAGTGGCAGCTCCAGGGAGGGGAGGAACTTCCGCTGATGTTGAGGGTTTAGGTGCCTGCTCAGAGCTGCAGTTCCTGTCCTTCCCTTAAGGACTGTGACTGAGCAGCTCTTAAAAATAGCTGGAGGGGCAGCAAGCAAGGCCAAGCCCGTCCTTGGGCAGAGGATTAAGTCTGGGGGTGTGTTTTCAACACTGACATCAGGAAACCTCTTGTCCTGGTCCTCGTGCTGCTGGGTGACTGGGGTGACATTGGATACTGTCCTTCCCCTCGTCCCCAAGGTGCTACCAGAGGGTATGGGCTGAGGGGAGAAGGTGAGAGGGGGGAAATGAGAGCCAGTGGGGGTGAGAGCTGAGATCCAACTGGAAAGGACTGGGAAGCAGCCCAAGGGCTGTGGTAGTTTTTGGCTGGTGACAGTTATGCTTGAGGCAGCATCACCTACAGCACTAAGCTACAGCTGGTGGCTCACACCAGTGGTCACACAGTGGCCTCAAGGCAGCAGAAGGGCGGGGGGGAAAGCTGCCTGGCTGGAGTCCTGAGTGTCACTGTGCAGCTGAGAGATCTCCCTGTCTCTTGTTGTCTTTGCAGGTGATTTTCCAGCTGCCCCGTTGCCACCGCAGCGTGTTTCGCTACCTGATGTCCTTCCTCCGAGAGTTGGTCAGATACTCCGATGACAACAACGTCAGCGTGGCCATGATCGGTGAACATCTCCTTTCTCTGCTCCCCTCCATGAAAATTAAACCCTTCTTGCTTCTTCTCAAGGTTTCCATTCCTGACCAAGAACTTAACTTTGCTTATTTCTCCAGCTGCCTTGTTCTCCAGCCTCCTCCTGCGCCCCCCACCCAACCTGCTGGCAAAGCAGACTCAGCAGGACCGTCAACGTGCCATCAACTTCCTCTACAGCTTCCTGCTCGCTGGGGACGAGGAGTGAGTCCTGCTGAGGCCCGTGTCACCAGCCTTGTGCTGAGCCCAGGCCTCTGACGGCTCCAGAAAGGTGGAAAAGGCTCTAAAGCTCCTCCCAAGTGCCGTGTTTACAGTTGGAAAGGGACGTACGTGTTCCCCTGTCCTTCCTGTCACTGTACCCTACGCTGCAGAGGACCTTGCACGCTCATTGCACTGCCATCCACGACAGGAGCCTCCTCCTTTCTCCCTGGGTGGATCTGGTAATACCCAAGCACTGTGCCAGCATCCCCACCATCCCATGGCAGTGTCACCAAGGTCCCCGAGTCACGCTTCTCTCTCCTTTTCACCCCCATCTCCCTGGAGCCATTGTGGGGAAGGGTGGAGACTGCTGGTGCTCTTGGAGAGCCGTGGGATGGCTGGCTGCTGCTCAGCCCAGTCACCGTGTCCCCATGGGTGCTGCTGGTGTGTCCTGACTGTGCTGGTGCCAGTCCCGTGCTCTGCCCCAGGCTGGTGCTGGGCACGTGTCACCCTCTGCCACGCAGCAGACCAAGCCAACCCTGATGCCCCATCACTGTGCTACGTAAGTTGGACTGTGCCTGTCCCAAGAAGGTTGTCTGGACATTTGGCTTCTTCCCTTCAGAAGGGTGTTGTCCTCTCCCTGCACTCCCAGCCTTCTGCCACTGTCCCCTCTGCCCTTCCCCTGTGCCCCAGCTGCCTTCCAGGACACAGGGGAGGGTGGGTGACTTGGAAGGGCCTAGGTCACTGCACTCTGCTTCTCTAGGGCTGTCCCTGTGCGTGGCACAGAGCAGGACACGGCTCCTGTCCTTCCCAACTCTGCAGGGGTGTGTGGGGGTCAGGCTGGGTGACTGGGGTGACATTAGATGCTGTCCTTCCCCTTGTCCCCACGGTGCTACCAGAGGGGATGTGCTGAGGAGAGAAGGTGAGAGGGGGAAATGAGACAGAAATCCACCCCAAGGCCTGGAAGAGCAGCTTGGGGGGGTGTTGTAGGGAGGGGGTCTGTAGTGCCAGGGTCACACACAGCT